TTATCTAGGGTCATAACCCTGTTGTCCAGAATCATGACCTTGTTAATCAGGTTCATGACCTTGTTGTCCAGATTCATGACTCTGTTATCTAGGGTCATAACCTTGTTGTCCAGGTTCATGACCTTGTCCAAATTCATGACCCTGTTATCAGTTCATGACCTTGTTATCAGGTTCATGAGCTTGTGCAGGTTTGGGACCTTGTCCAAATCATGACCTTGTTGTCCAGGTTCATGACCTTGTTGTCCAGGTTCATGACCTTGTTTTCAGGTTCATGACCTTGTTGTCTGAGTTCATGACCTTGTTGTCAGGTTCATGACCTTGTTGTCCAGGTTCACGGCCCTGTTGTCCCAGGATTCATGACCTTGTTGTCTAGGAGTTCATGACCTTGTTGTCAGTTCATGACCCTGTTGTTGTGCAGGTTTGGGACCTTGTCCAAATCACTGACCTTGTCCAGGTTCATGACCTTGTTGTCGAGTTCATGACCCTGTTGTCCAGGTTCCTTGACCCTGTTTGGCTTGTACCCCAAGGTTTGGGACCTTGTCCAAATCATGACATTGTTGTCCAGGTTCATGACCCTGTTGTCCAGGTTCATGACCCTGTTGTCCAGGTTCATGACCCTGTTATCCAGGTTCATGACCTTGTTGTGCAGGTTTGGGACCTTGTCCAAATCATGACCTTGTTGTCTAGGTTCATGACCTTGTTGTCCAGGTTCATGACTCTGTTATCCAGGTTCATGACCTTGTTGTCCAGGTTCATGACCCTGTTGTCCAGGTTCATGACCCTGTTATCCAGGTTCATGACCTTGTTGTGCAGGTTTGGGACCTTGTCCAAATCATGACCTTGTTGTCCAGGTTACTGACCTTGTTGTCCAGGTTCATGACCTTGTTGTCCAAGTTCATGACCTTGTTGTCTAGGTTCATTACCTTGTTGTCTAGGTTCATGACCTTGTTGTCTAGGTTCATAACCTTGTTGTCCAGGTTCATGACCCTGTTGTCCAGGTTCATAACCTTGTTGTCTAGGTTCATAACCTTGTTGTCCAGGTTCATGACCCTGTTGTCCAGGTTCATAACCTTGTTGTCTAGGTTCATAACCTTGTTGTCCAGGTTCATAACCTTGTTGTCTAGGTTCATAACCTTGTTGTCCAGGTTCAAGACCTTGTTGTCTAGGTTCATGACCTTGTTGTCCAGGTTCATGACCTTTTTGTCTAGGTTCATGACCTTGTTGTCCAGGTTCATGACCTTGTTGTCTAGGTTCATGACCTTGTTGTCTAGGTTCATGACCTTGTTGTCTAGGTTCATTACCTTGTTGTCCAGGTTCATGACCTTGTTGTCTAGGTTCATTACCTTGTTGTCTAGGTTCATGACCTTGTTGTCTAGGTTCATTACCTTGTTGTTCAGGTTCATGACCTTGTTGTCCAGGTTTTTGACCTCGTTGTCCAGGTTCATGACCTTATTGTCCAGGTTCAAGAGCTTGTTAGTGAATATGCTGTCAAATGGGGCCCCATATCTTGGAGGTGCCTAAGGCCTACGAAAGTCTTAAGCCGGCCCTGCTTGTAACCATGCTGCCTTCCCAGCACCAAGCTGCATTGTACATCCAATACAATATGTATACAGAGAGCACATTGTGAGTTTCCTTTCTCCATCCCATCCTGAGTGTGAACCAACATCTTGTACCCCACAACCCGACCCGCCCCGGTTTTATTTGGGTGAGTATGTTTGTGTTTACATTTCAGATAATTATCTAACTTCCTTAATACAAGACTGACAACACTTACTATGTTTCAATCGGGTTCTCTGATGTTCAAAATCAAAACAGAGTAACTTCAATTTCGAACGGACGCCGCGTAAAAACAAACGGTACATAAGGTTTACAGCTGGTAAACAGAGTTCTCAACACATCTCTTAACACAAAATACTCTACATATTAGATACAAGATACCTCCAACATATACTCAATACATCTAGACTCTTTTATATTACTGTGAGTGTACCGAATTGACTGTAAAATAAATTCATTCACTCGCAATTTCAAATTCCCTGAACATCCCGAGTTAGTTAAAAAAAAATACCCGAGTTACTGAGCGAGTACCCAAAACGAAACGGAGGAACTACGACATCCTGAAATGGATAGAGGACGGACGTCTCTACTGGGGAACTAAAACGTTTCACATGTTTTGTGGGCACTGTAGCATAATATGAATAATTATGTGTAGAACGGACCAAGTGAACAAACGTGACCATGACATGTGGAGGAAGCCGGCCTTCTACATAAGCTTTGAGTTTTGTCTATTAACGTTTAAATGGTTTTAACGAAAGTTTTATGCTATTTATTTTGTTTTGTTTTTTACCTTGCATATGACCTAAGATGTTGTATTGTAGCGTACTGTCGTGGCAGGTTGTCAGGGTCTCTTATTTGGCCTCACAACGTACGTACATGAAATATATCCAACACTCAGGATTGAGGTAGAAATAGAAAATCACAATGTTTCTCGTATGTATATTGTTGCACAGCACAGTGTTAAAGAGATACGAAGTCGGGCGAAGCTTGCTCAGAGTTCCTGTAGGGCGAGGAGCTTTCTGAGGGGGGGTGTGTATGGAGCTGGTGAGGAATGTTGCTTGTTGGTGGCGGTAAGTAGAAAGAGGGCGATAAAGGTCAGGTGAAGTCTTATATAACCGCGGTAGGCGTGGCTTGATGGAAGGCCCCCGCTTTGTTCGGCGTCGCTGGTTACCTGACCTTGACCACGATGGATACGCCGGCAGATTCGCGGGGGGTCGGCCAGTCAGTGACACACGGCGTTTACATAAGAACATAAGAAAATAAGGAGTCTGCAATAGGCCGGTTGGCCTGTGCATGGCAGCTCCTGTCGAGAGTTACTACCACTCTCTATCATCCATGAATCTATCCAGCCTCCTTTTGAAACTTTCCAAAGTTCCCGCACTTACTACAAAGTTGCTAAGCTTGTTCCACTCGTCCACCACCCTATTTGTGAACCAGTTTCTTCCTATCTCCCTCCTAAACCTAAACTTATCCAACTTGAATCCGTTGCTCCGAGTCCTATCCTGCTCGGATATTATAAGAACTTTATCTATATCCCCTTTATTGATTCCTTTCACCCACTTAAATACTTCTGTCATATCTCCCCGCACTCTTCGTCTTTCTAGGGAATGTAAGTTAAGTTTCTTTAACCTATCCTGATATGGAAGGTTTCTAAGTCCCGGAATCATTTTTGTCATTCTTCGCTGCACCGACTCTAGTGAATTGATATCCATTCTATAATAGGGGCACCAGAACTGAACCGCATAGGGGAGGCCTCCACTACAGTATCGCCAAGGATGTAATTACCATAATCAATCAATCAATCCCATTGTGTCTTAGATGATATTGTAGTGGATTACTCCCCTACAAACGCTGTTTGTCGCTGAGTAGCCGACCCCACCAATTCCCCAGTGTATGCCTCGTGGTCTAGGTCAACCAGCGCCGCCATACATCACGGAGCGGGGTCAACTACTAAGCCACGCCTACCCCCGCTATTTAAGACCTGACCTCGTGGCTCACTAACTCCAACAATAACAAATAATAATAATAAGCAGCATTATATAAATAAACCAATATTAATACAAAGGTCTGACGACCCAAGGGAGCAGAACAAAGACAAAACACCAATAAGAAAGATGAAGCGATCTGGTTGAGCCCAGATTCTTTCTACTCCTACTGTATTTCAGTTTCACCACTTTTCCTTCAACTCCTAATAATCTTCTTTCACCTCTTAACTAAAGACTTCGTATCGTATCGACCTGTCTCTTTCTACCTACAGCCGCAGCCAGCAACACACCTCCTCCGCCGCTGCTTGGCGGCCCTCGCTCCTCCTCCACCTGCCTGGCGGCCCTCGCTCCTCCTCCGCCTGCCTGGCAGTCCTCTCTCCCGCCGGCGAGCATGGCGACCCACAAGCTGTCCTCCTCTGAGCATCCTCACCAACCAGCTCTCTCTACATCACGCTTGTAACCATGCTGCCTTCCCAGCACCAAGCTGCATTGTACATCCAATACAACATGTATACATGAGAGCACATTGTGAGTTTCCTTTCTCCATTCCATCCTGAGTGAACACCAAACAATTTCATACCCCACAATATTGTGCGATAACACCAGATTATTCAATAAAAACAATTTAAAAAGTAAAAGTAAAAAGTAAACATATAGTCAGTAGGTTAATGACACCCAACTTTACTTATCCTGTAATAAATTCTCAAAGAAACACATTGATTATTTTGAAATAAAAAAATCATCGTTGTTGTCTCTTGTTGATTACATCAGAACTTGCAGATGTTGCATACATGTCAAAAACAAACTCGGCATCTCCTGAGTAACTTAAGATTCCTTGCAACAGTTGTTACTGAAGTTCAGTCTTGTTTTGATTATCTTGATATAAGATAATAAATTGATTAAAAGTATTTTGTACGATCCTTTTCACATTTGTAGCATGGAAAAATATACATTCAACTACAGTACATCGTTACTTAATGACAGTCGATAAGTTTTTACTGCGGTTATTGCTAGATCTTGAAGGCTGTTTTCATTTAGCAATAAGTGCAGGTGCTTCCTATTCATCCCAGGCGGTAGCACCATACAAAATATTGGGTTATTTTGTGCTGTAAATTGTTGCATGTGTCAGTCACTCTTATGTTAAAAATCGAAAGAAAATATAACGCTTTCGTTTCAGTTTATTTATACAGTATGCTGTATATTAAAAAAAATCGTATTCGTACTGTTTCCGAATATTGAGGATATAACTTTGTTTTTTTGTTTTTTTTACATATCTTGTCTATTCTTAGGCAAATCTTTAAAATCACTTGCAGTCTCACTAGAAATAGTTAATGTCGTGCATTACTCTAACTACCGTTTTAGTCCAACAGCTGTTTATTAAATGCCGTAAAGAATGGCAAGCGTTGATTGGCTGGTGATGTTTGCTGGACACAGAAAACGCCACCGAGCTGATAAATACGTGGCGGCCAGTGTGAACCCCCTTCACTACATCTCGTGTGTCATTCTTCGAGGGGTCCGCATTTTAGCTTCTATCAAGGTAAGCAGTGTAGGCGAGAGGTGTTAGGTTTCAAGTATAAGGAAATCCTCATATTTGTGGGATAAACTAAAGAGAGAACAGTGATAATAATACAGTTCCCTGTGTAGCAGAGTTCCTCCTCCATTTAACGTGAACAGTTTGTGAAGACGGGTGGGGATCTCGGCTGAGTGTATAACACGGCTAATATAATCAGTCCTTAAAGAGTACAATTTTCATATCCCAGGTTTGGTGACCATAGTCCTGTACAGCTAATATCGTAGACTAATTTTAAAACTATATTTAATATTTGTTTTGAGTGTATTTTTGCCCTGTAGTTTTCCCGGTTATTTGTCTGAGTTTGTCAGTTACCGGGTATTTTTTTAGAAAAAAAATTAAAACCTGGGTTAATATTTAGTTGTAGTTAACACTTACTTTTATTTGGGTCTTGTATGGAGACCGGGAAAAATCAACTAAATTTCTTCTATACCGTTTCCAACCATATTAATTGTTCAAAGTGGGCAGGGCTTTGAGTTAGAGGGAAAATATGGGGTTAAAATACGAAAAAAAAAACCTTACCCAACCTGTCCTAATCTATAAAAATCCCAAACGGTGTTCAGACGAGAGACTCAAACTAGAAAGTGATTCTTGACCTTTTTACAAATGAGTTGGTTAGGTAAGGTTTCTAATTATTTATTTTTTGTATTTTACCCCATTTCTTCATCTGCTTCAAAACCCTGCCCACATTGAACTAATTTTGTTGGTAGTCTTCTTGAATAAATTATTAAAAAAAAAATTACATTTCCGAAGTTAACTACATAGAATAAATTAGTTTTGTTTCTCCGTATGACTTGATATAGAAGTGTTGGCAAATATTGCATATTAACTGAACAGAGGGTTAGGGTAGGTTCCCTTTAGTTTAATTCATAAAATATTACTAGACTTTGGGTTTTCTATATGCATTGAGCTGTGATATTGGTGGCTAACAAATATACTGGAGTAATTTTATCATGCATTGTATACATAGCCCAGAGCCACACAAAGAACATTGCTTATTTGTCCTAAATACCCTAAACCTAAATAATTCTTGTGAAAGAAGGGTATCTGGCTACCCAAGATTTTTCCAATATATTAATGTCCACTGTCTTGGCGTTCGAAAGAAATGGTTGAAGTGGTCTCGATGGACTGTGTTTTTGAATTTGTTCCACCTTTAGTTTACTTGTGCAATGAGTTGATCTGTATGAAGCTTTGAGAACCATCCTGTCAATGAGTTTTGGTGTTGACTGAAGGATTTAAATTCTATACGCTTATTGTCTTAGAATGCGAAGGTAATTGTGGAGCATACGGTTAACTTGTTGGACTTCTTTAATTGTTTCACATTCTTTGGATGATGGTAATAAAAAAACTTTTCTTTTAAAATTTTTCACTTTCTGACTGTAAATCCACTGTAGTGAGCAGGGCATGGAGGAGGGAAATTGTGGGATAAAAACCCTTATCTTACCCTGCGACGCTAAAATAGTCTGTTTTGTACATAAATTTAATTCTGGCGTTTCGGCATGTTCTCTTCCAGTTGTAAACAATTGGTATACTCTCGATTTAACAGAATCTGATATGACGAATTCTCGATTTAGTGGTAGAAATTTATTTTTATTTTTCACATGATTTAGTGAACTAGTCTGCTGAATAGATAAATTAATATATTCGCACTTACGGCAAAATTTTGGACATGCACGCATGCATGCATGCTTACATAGAATCGTTAGAAACACTATTCATGGCTTGCTGTAAACTAGGGTCTTGGATGTTTTTCAATTTTTTCTATTTCCAAACATTTTTTAAATTGTTAGCGAGTACTTTTGACTTTCTCCCTCACCTCTTTTTGAGGCTTTTGAGAATTTTGGCATGTCTAAGCACAGTAGTTAGTTGACTAACAGGTAGACCGAGAGGTAGCAGTGAACAACACATGCAGTGTTTGTGGGACACAGAGGATGTAAACAAACCCTATGCTCCCAGTGGCGTATTTGCAAAGGCGGTTCCAGGGCTCCTGGGGGTTCTGACCCCTACTTTTCATTGGGAATTCAAATACTTTTTCCTTAATGCAGTATTGTACTTGGACTTTTTATAGTAAAAAATAATCACTATTGACCTTAGAATATCTTCTAATATGTGCACATGGCCTCAAAATGCTAATGATATTGATCATATTTCCAAAAAATATCTGGGGGGGGGGGGGTTAACCCCAGCTGGGTGGGCTCTCTGTTCTCCATGTTCCCTTGCCCCAAACTTCTTGGACCCCTTTTTGATATTTCTGGATCCATCCTCAATTTAGTGTTATATTTAATGGAATCTTGCTAGATTTAGTGAACTACTTTGGTAAGTAGAACAAAAATATAAAATGCAATTTAGAGGAATTTTCAATTTGATCGAAAGGGGGTGTGGCTCAAATTAGTTTGCTAAATTGAGAAAATACTGTAAATTTAGATTTTGTTCTTGCTTAAATTGTCAACAAAGGATGGAGTGTCATATCTGAGATTACTTGAATGCTTTTCTTTTTAGCCATTAGTGTCCAGAGTAGGGTGTCTATACATGCACAAATCCCCTATATTTTCCTTTCTGCTCAATAGGTTCTTAAACCTATTAAATTTACGAATGATGGCTTTTACCTCATCACTGATTGGCTCGGTAGCTGCTTGGGTGGTCAGTTGCGTTTATTATGCAATGTTGGCATGTACAGTATACTAGCTCCACAGTGTATCTGTACCTCCCTGAATATTTCTGCTGGAATTGAAATTCACATAGGTTTTGATTTATTTAAAATGCCTTGTAAGGAGCATTGGTTAATAAATGAACTGTTTCTATACCTATTATTCATTCCTAGAGGAGGAATGAGGGAGAAACCATATTGCATTTCAATGACTTCCTCATCACGTCCACAAAAAATTAAAATTGCACCATGTTAATTAAAGGTAGTTGCATCCATTGGTACTGGATATCAAATAGTTTTCTGCCTCTGCACCTTGTCTAAGAAAAAGGTTTTGTTGGCTAGGTCAGGTTCTATTAGGTTCTGTGAATTGTTTTATCATTTTTATTACTTTGTCATCCAAAGAACACCTGTGGAAAGAATTAACGAAATTAAACTATTACTTGTGTTTGCTGCCTACAAAACACCTAGAAGTGAAATTACGGACAATTTATAGTTTCAACCAACCACGGCTCTAGAGTTGAGCAATGTGTTTTTCCTATGGTTTTGACAATTTTAAGACTTGTTTTCCTCTCTAATGACCTAAAATTACTTGACCTAACTGGGGACTCCACCCCCATGGATACCCTGGTACATTTGTCATTTATAGTAGTTTCCTGATACTAGTTGATATGTTACGGGTAAAATGCTCCAGAAGTGTTAGTGGATGAAAATCTTCTTGTCTCAACTTGATAAAAACTAAAGTACAGTATATAAATTTATTTATTGTAATATAAATTGACAAGCGGTATCATAGAAAACTAGAAAATATGAATATGCTGTATATAAACGTAATTATAGCTCCGTCAGATCTCCCGTGGCGCCCATGTTTTGGTTAACTAAGTTTGCTATCCAAGAGTGTGCAGTTTTTGTTTACTTGAGAAATGGACTATCATCGGAATTTTGTTTGTATTGGATATAATTCATTCATTTTTTCTAGGTGTTTGGATAAGAAAATGTAAATGACAAGGCACAGGTTAGGAAGTTAGGAAAGGTTAGGTCAGGTTCTAATAGGTTCTGTGTATTATAGTTAACATTTTCGTGTTCAATATCCTGCAAAGATCTTAAGATCATAAAGCAGAGATTTGGTTAAATTCCATAAATTATTTCTGGTGCTAACCACCTCGCATCTGCTGCAACTATACCCTTTCCACACTAAGCTGGCCCGTAAGCCACGCCCCTCGTCTATAGCTACAAATAGCGGATTGGTTCCCCCGAGCTATTTACCTGCCTCCGGACTGCGCATGTACAAGGGCACATCTATATCTACCCCCATGATAAATCTTTAAAATTTTCTAACATCTTCTCTGAAGTGCTAATGCCTTGAAATCCTCTGCGTTATTTTAGGTAACAGGTCTGCTTACCAAATGTGAACACACGGTTTGAATTTTCTATGAACCAATCTGTTACAGGTATTAGTACTGTATAGAAGAGGGGGTGTGGCTTATGGTCCAGGCTAGTGTAGAAATACTTGCTTGTTTTCCTGGATAAATAAATTTCAGAGCAGGAATACTGGATATATACAGTATTCAGTAGTAGATTATTGGAGGACACGAAACCTGAACTGACGTGCATATAATTTTAGGAATAATGTTGTTGGGAAACTTTGTAAACTGAGATGAGTAAGTTAAATGGTTATTCATCTTCCAGAATGGCATACCCAAATCCTCGCTGGTCTTGCTCGACCAGGCAACTTGGCAGGTTCCCAGCAACTGCCTGTAATACCCCTACTGTACCACTCTAGCCCTGCCTTGCTCCCACCCACTGCCCTCCTCTTGCCATGCCCATGAGCTTCAGTATTAGCTGCTACAGTTATAGTAATATTTTGTCACAAATTGTACTAGATAGGATAAGTGCCAGGTGAGCCATCAGTGTTGCTGCTCGCCTTGTCTTGAGTGCAGAGAGCTCGTCCACTGATGACTTAAGGCATTTTAAGATGCAAGGAATAGCTAACGCTTTGGCTTTCCCAGACTGTCGTTAAATAATAAGACGTTGTACTGCTTCTTGGGAATAACTGTTGTACAACAGTCTTCAGAGAACAATAAAATTAGAACTTTTATTTGGACACAATACAGAAAGAAATAGTGAAGAAAATGTATAGAAAATTATGGAAAGAAAGACCAAGGAAAAAGTCGGTAAACAATAAATAATAACCCCAAAACATGGGCTCGTTGTAAAGGACTCCAAAAGCACAAGAATTCTTGTGGCTGTGTTCACATTTGTTCATGTAATACGACGAATTTCAGGTTCGTTTAAGCCTTGGTATTTGCACATGGAGAACTTTAATCCACTTGTTCACCCTTATTTAAAGTAGCTTTTGAGTAATATCAGTGATAATCATATTTGAGTACAGGTTGACAATTCCTTATCCGAAATCCTTGGGGTCAGAGGCTTTTCGGAATTTTTCGGTTTTCAGAATGGTTAGTTTTTTAGCCCACCTGGGCACAAGTCACTGACCCCCATTGGGGTCTGGGGGGCGAAAATATAATAATAATAATAATAATGATGATGATGATGATTCATAGGTCTAGGTTGTGTTTCTCACTTTTTTCATTCTTGTTTTTCTTTATTATTATTTTAATACATTATTATTATTATAAATTTTATATTTTATTATTTTATTTTGGTGTATTTTTTTAATTAAAATTATTTACTATGAATAATTATTATTATAACTAGTATTATTATAATAATTAATACAGTATTACTATTACTTTTTTGCCCCCCAGGCCCTGATGTGGGTTAGTGATCTATGCTTGGATGGGCTAATCCCGGTTTAAAAAAAATATTGATCCACAATTTTTTTTCGGTTTTCGGAATTTCGGATAAAGGGTTGTCAACCTGTAATTATCAAATTTGTTAAACCAAAGTCACCAACAGCAGAGCTTGAACAGGTATCAACTAGGTGCAATCTTCAATTCTTTCATGCATTGGGCTTTGTTTTTGGTCCTATCCACTATACTACCGTTTATATAATTTTTATTATCGGTTTTTATTGCCTTGCACACCCCCAACTCATCAGTATTAATAAAAATATTCTCCAAGCGGCTTATCCGCGTGTTTTCACAGGAAGAAATCACCGATTGGTTGTTCACTATTTGGGGGTTGCTGCAAAAGCCTGATCAAGGCGTTTCCTTTTCCCTCTGAAAGTGTCCTGTGCAGGTAACGCATTTGCTCTTCCTTGCATCTGGAATGCTTTATAAAAAATGCCTTTAGTCGACATCCTCTGTTGGTAGACAACTCTTGCAACCCATAGGGCAACTTTCTTACCAAGGTGGAGGATGAAGACCTGGGAGTTTTCAATACTGGTGGGGACTCCTCCCATTTCCACAGACTGGTTCTTTCATGACAATTGACCTACTGGCTTGTCAAATGCCATGAGACTGGATGGGAAGTGGTCAATGACCCTCATGGTAGCTATCACTTCCCAATCCTTCAGATTTAGGTTCACCTTGTTTAATACTTGTATTGTCAGAAATATATTGATACCTGCACAGGCAAGGAGAGCAGCAACAGAGAAGATGTACAGGAGACGAGGCAGGGTATGCTCGACAACCCTGCTGGGGATGTTCATGTGGGCAACTATCATCACTGCCAGCGCAACCATCACTGCAGTGGATTTTGACACTCCTCACATGGCCCTTCCAGGTCTACCTTCTATTGAAGACTTGGTATGTGGCCTGAACTGTTTCTTGTAGAACCTCTCGTTGAGTACAGTGCTACTGTATATACAAACCAGCTAGTGCATTAAATTTTATATTTTGTAGCAGATGTTGAAAGTGTAATTTTCTTTCCTATAGATTTACCTGCCATTTTTATTCTATGGGGTACCACTCACAGGCTCAATTTTGGGAGTCTCCATTCCCTGTAAACAGCGAAAATTAAACTTCCCATTGGGAAACTTGAGATTTGCCAAGGGTAAGGGGCAACTCAAAAGAATTTAGTTAATGTCTTCGTTAGGCTTCCTATACCTGTATACAGTACAGTATTGAGGTAGATAAATATCATCTTAATGAGCAGGACAAGTTTCTTTACTCCTAGCAAGTTATCCAGCACCACATAGAATATCAACACTGACCATTTCTAGTACAGTTTATTAGTACTGTACTAAGCAACTTGACGGTTTCCTTCATTGCAGGTGATGAATGAGTTAGCAGGACTGCTGAATTTATCTTTGGTGTTAAAATTGCCAACGTCACAGATGTATACTGGACATTAGTTGACTTTAATTGTTCGTCTGTTATAGTATAGACTACAGCTCCTCCCAACTTACGACCTGCCTCAGTTGTATCAAAATTGGGTCAAATTACGTATTTTAAAGTCCCAAAGTCTGTACAGACAAAATTTTTGTTTCCAATTCACTTTAAAATGGTTGGCAAGCTTAAGTGAGTTTTGTGGTGCGGAGACGAATGACACCCATTTTACATTTTCTATAATATTTAAGTATTTCCGACATGACCATTTCGACTTACGACCTGGATTTGGGTCTCTATCCCCATCATAAGTCGGAGGAGCTGTTTAGTGTATTAAAACTGGACACTTGACAATTCAGATAATCAAATAGTTGCCCGTTCTATCAGGTTGATGGTGGCACATGTCGCCTACATGATTTGTATGCCTCATCAGAATCTTAAGCATTTTGGGATTCTAACTTATACTTAACATTACCTACCCCTATCTGGAAAGCATTTAAAACTTTGATTTCTATAACACGTATGCTAACAGTTTGTATTTTGGAATAACATATCAAAATGTTACATACAGTACGAGGGAAATCTAGTCAACAATTTAGTTTGCTCAGTGTACCAACAAGGGATACTTTATGAAAGTTAACTAGATATTCCTATTGTGAACAATTTGGTGTTCCCAGTGAATTTAAGTACAGCATCAGAAAAGTACGCGTAATTATTAGATCACTCCTCGTATGTATCAATTGGCCGATAGATGACTCGGAGGAGGATGCCAGGATGACTGACGCCCATGTGTCGGCAGTGTTTTTCTCGCCAAAATGTGGTGGCGAGACGTGACAAGAGGTTGAACACTACTATAATTTTAATGTACTGTTCGGTAGATGGACTCTGTGCCGGATCAACCCTTCGAGACGCTGGCAGATGTTGATGCCTTCATGACTTCCCTCATGGACTTGGCAGACCTGTACCTTGAGAAAGCTTTCACAGCCCACACCCACAGATACAAGAGAGGTATGGCTTCACAGAATTCCTTATATCTTGGTTATATACTTAGCTTGGATAAGGCTTGAGAAACCTGTTAAGTTTAATGAAATAATTGGAGTGAATGGAGGATGTGACTGAGGGTGGGACGGTCTGTGGCGAGTGAAGTACTGTACCTTTATTTAATTTAATTTAATGTATTTGATGTGGGTGTGAAGTTAAATAAAATGTACAATATGAAAGGCTGAGATTGAGGACATATTGTCAACTTGTGAAATGTAGCATTTTTGGGGATCCGAATGGACAGTTTTCAGTTGTATGAAGACCAATAAATTAAATTTTCCAATCTGAATGGAGTTAAAAATATTTACTGTACTGACATATAGCAACAGAGGACGGAGAAATGTACTGTACTTAGAGTTGGAGCATTCACTTGGACATTCAACACAGGAAATGTTACAACTCGGCATGTCGTCATTTGTTGCTAGATAGTATGTGTCCAAAGGCGGGCCACCAGACTGGTGCCTGCTCTATTGTTCCTTAGCTACCCTGAGTTTAGTGCCTGAAATTGCCTAGCTTATACTGCAGATAGGCGAGGGGGGGACCTAATTGAGGTGTATTAACATCTCAAAGGGCACTACTCATTAAAGTGCCGTTACCTGGAGCTGGTGGATATGTGCCCCACAAGGGGTCACAGCTCAAGGTTGAAGCTGCAAGCCCAGAAAACTGAGGGGTAACTTTTTCTGAGTGAGAATTGTGAACTTGTGGAACAATCTGCCTGTGTTCTGGGGCAGGTTGATACATTCAGGAGTAAGTGCATGACCAGTACTTGACAGATGTGACCGATCACCCAAGTGGCTAACAAGCTGATCTGTGGTGAAGAGGATAAAAGTAAATAGACTGGTGAGGTTGACCAGCATAGTTTGTAAAGTACTAAAGCATTAGAAGATACCATGATGAAACCTCTATGAAGCAACCTGGTAAAGGAATACCAAAAAGTTTGGAAAATGTCAGGGCAAACTTTTTGGAGATGTGTTCTCAACTTTAGGAACAATCTGCCAGCATTGTGACAGCAGTGTGAGCTTGTTACTCTTTTTTTCACCCCCTACATCCTTGTGTAAGGTGGTGTGCCGAAGCGTTTACAGTGCCCAACAGGGAAGCATGCCAAGTTCATGCTTGCCTTTGTCTCACGAGTTAAGGGCGTAGAAGCCTGGCGAGTCATTGGTTTGTCTAGCAAGTTATTGGAAGCTCTAACAACTTGTCCCTGAATATGAATGTGCAAATTTCGATTTACAGCAGGTGCCTACTTTGCTGCTAGGTGAACAGGGACCAAGGGAGGCTGGGAAGTGTGTCCGAACAACTTTCCACCGGCCCGGGAATCGAACCCGTGACATCTTGCTTGCGAGGCAAGAGCGGTACCGTTTTACCCACTGGCGCCCCTATTCGAGACTTGATCAACACTGGTGTAGGTAGATACATTCTTGAGCCAGTATATGTCAACAATGTGACAGACTGCCCAAGCAGCTAATGAGCTGATCACTGGTGAAAATAATTATGGGGGGTATATTGAAAGTTTATTTTGCCATTAATATAGTTGGTATTGGTAATAAACATGGCTGAGCCAATTGAGAACCTGAACTCATGGTGGCACCTGATATATACTGTATATTTCTCAGTCCTGTATAACCTTTAGTATCTGGAATAGTACACGGAATGTGGTGTTAGCAAGAACCTACGAGAATGTTACCACAACTATTTGATATTTGTTTTTAACAAATATTATAAGTACAGTATATACATATTTTAGTGTCGACATACGATTACAGTGTATATACACATTTTAGTGTTGATATACAATACAAGTGAGGGAAGCAATACAACATTGTTTATTAAAGCGAAACAAGGACGTATAGTAAGGATCATGTCTTGAAGGCAAATAATTATTGCGATGGTAATTTCTATCTGACAATGATATAATGGTTTTGGTGGTACAATAAGAATAGTGTTCCAAAAATACCAGTATTAATACTTAATCAAAAGATATTTAAGGATAGAGTAATTTTATTTAACAAAGGATAGTTGACAAAGCTGTCAGGTGCTGATTTCCAGGAGGTTCTTTGTTTTGGCTTATGCTTGGTCTCAAATCCATAATACCTGTATGTCTCGATGAGTAATGGTGGAAGTTTTTAATTCGACAAGCATTATACTGCTGGGAGATTGTTGGGAGTCTTGCCCTTTTGATAGACGTGCAGGAGAGGCTGTATTCCAATAAAATGTTGCCTAATGCATATTTATTTGGAGTATCACCCTAGTTTTGTCATTTTCAACATTGCAGTCATGTTATGAAATTACTTCGACTAAGTTGTGGCAATTGTTTAATTGCAAGTTACATTATGCATTTTAGCTCTTGATGTGACATCCGTGACAGTTACTGGGACCCAGATATATAACTTCAATTTTTTCAACCCAACTGAATTTAATGCCGCCTCCCTGGAGAGAGTGAGTGGACGTCAGCTACTCGCAACACCAGAAAAAGTATACTGGATTTTGGGTTATCCAAGGTATGTACACAATGTATTACTGTATTGTCCTATCACAGATGTATGAAAGTCTGCTTGTGTTTAGTGTTAATCTTCTAAAAACAAAAACATTAATGTGATAGTCCAGAATGCAACGTCTAGTTTTTCTCATTCGAACCAAACTATCGCATAACCAAGAAAATAGTTCCCTAGAGGTGTTCATGTTCTTTCTTAGGCTGTACACCATCACTGATAACAGACTGTTGACTTCTATAACTGTGTCTGTCTTGTGTGTTAATGTAAAACACGCTTGTATTTTTTCCTTAAAAAATGGTTGACACTGCAAAACATGAATTAACACCAACACTTCTCCAATGCCTTACTGAAAATGATTATTTTCACTTCCACCAGGAGTGGATGGCAGTCTGTTATAGAAATGTCCAGACTAGATTACAGAATAAAGCTTTTGGCAAAGTTTCGGTTGGAGAGTATCGCCATTGACAAGATAGACAGGATTACGGTGGGTCTGTTGAAACTTGTAGTAAAATGTTTGAATTTTCAAGAGTACAGTGCAGTACTGTAGTGACTTGGCATGTAAAGTACAGGGAAGTGATGGATGTCTATTGTAAGTCGAGGCTAATCACTCGCTTATTTACACTGCATGCAACTCCATTATAAAAATTGTGTGGATTCTTCAACTTTTAGCCCTTTCATGTTTTTAATTTTCCTATCACTGCTATATTTTCATCATTGTTTATCTGCCCTTTGATACTCCCCATTGGAGTAGAAGAGTACAGGAAGTTCCTGGGTTACTTACGTCTAACTTAAGAACATCCACCAATACGAAAAAGGTCCCATAAACTTATTTTTTTAATGGGGATTAGCCAACCCGGGTGCATCGGACAACACCTGATGCTTTCAATATCTTCCCAGGTGGTAGTACCTCCATTTGATAGCTGCTTACTTCTTACTACGTTTACCCGAGGACTTACTTTTTTACTTTCATTAACTGTCATTTTAATTTTTCTTGTAAATAAATGATTTTAGATGTACGAGTACTTAGGCTATGATATAGTGGGATTTTAAACATTATTCTGTAAGTATGGTATGCATCCAGGATATGTTTGACTTCAGAACGTCCATAGGAACTGATCTCTTATGTAATCCGGGGACTGCTTGTGTATTCAAGTTTCTTAAGCTTAATAGCAATACTGTACTGTATATTTTCAGGGTGGTTTCAACATGGGGTTAATGTGGATGGCACTTGGGTCAGCATCCAGCAGTCTAGTGACCATAGCCTGTGTTAACATGAAGACAGGCCGCTGGGTCATCACTCAGGAGATTACTGTCCAAGGGGAGCTGAGAGCACTTAACATGTTCATGGTCAACAAGCAACTGTTTCTGGCCGTGGGAGCCCAGGCCAACTTTGTAGTCGATTCTGATGTTGTGTAAGATATTACTATTTTTAACAAATAGGTTTTTGGGGCAATTGTATCTTATTGATTTTGAGCCCAGATATGACAAATATCAGAATTTTTTATGGATTGTAAAACCTACATCAAAGCCAGTTTTCTGATTGGTCAAATTCTAAACCTTTTTGACATTTTATATATCCATAATTATGGGTGTAACACTGTAGACGAAAGTTTATCTTTAGCTCCTAGAAATACTTTAAATATACACTTGACTAGAATGTCTAAGGAATGCCATATATTGTACCAGTTTATGGTACTGTACATTACTGTATTACCTTATTCTTTTAAGTACTGCACTTTTAATGTGTTCTCCAAAGCTGTCTGCATGAAATAACCCAAATTAATTTTACATAAACTTGAGTTACTTAGTGTAGTTGCCCAACAGGTTGTACGTGCTGATTGACAACTATTTTGACCGTCGAGATGATGTACAGTTAAAGATGAAGGGTGTACAAGACATTACTGGCTTCACAGACAGCAAGAGCTTCTATTACTTAGTGTTTGGTTCTGGGCCTCAGGTATGTGTAGTGGCCAGCTGTGGTTATGGACATACTGTACCAGATGTTTGGTTGTTGCTACAAAGTGCACCTAAATACGATATCCAGTGGCAATTTAGTGTATACATGAACGTAAGTCAGGTCCCAAGAAAATTTAAGGCTAAAATTGTCATGATTTAGAGCTACAAAGTTAGAATACAAAAATCTTGCATTATTCCTGTAATAGATTGCATTTTCATCAAATGGAGATAGGCAGAACTTTCACTTCAGTAGTTACAGGTCAAAATTAAACTACTGTATCCATTTCAAATTTACATGAATTAAATTTTAAGATGGTATTTAATTTGAGAATGCATAATTACTGTAAAGCTACTTGCCAGTGACACTTGCCATCTAGATTCCCTTGGCTGGACTACCTTAGTCTGGGGTTACCTATTCAAAACTTTCTTGCATTATTCAAATGTGCTAAAGTATTGGATCGGTACTGTATTTGAAATTTATTTAACTGATCCATTAGTTAAATTATGAAAATTTTCTGTGGTCTAGGCTACCTCAAGCAAATAAACTTTTGCTGGAATATAAATAGTGTATATAAAGCCTAAATTAAAAAAATGTTGGTTCATACTGTTTGGTGAAGTTGAAAGCAATTTGGGACTGTATAGATATAATTTTGAAAGATCCCTTCATCTGAAGTTCTCCTTTAAACATTACTTTGGTAAAGTCTGGAAATTTACAAAACTACTAATAGGGTACAAACTTTAAGGTACTTCACATGAACAGTTTTGTTCAAACATGAAATTTTTAACCCTTTAAGGTAACCCATATTATTCCAACCGGGGCTGTGAATTATTACATACCGGGTAGTTTATGCTAAGAGTACGTCGTGCCCAGATACCATCCGGTTGGATGAGTACTTGCACCAGGTAAAGTGGACATAGTTTGTTCCTATGTACACAGTAAAAAAAAGTCTTCACAATCCTTGAAACATAATGACACCATGAACAAGGCTTCCCATGAGGCATAATGTTCAATCATATTGCAACAAACTTTATATTTCAAATGAAATGACAAAATTAGGCCTAGCAAGACAACAGGAATGTTAAATTAGAATTTCTTTAAACCCCTCCTGAAAGATGCAGCAAGTCCTAGCTTAACGTCGGGGTTACATTCCTGAAAATGTGATGTTATACGAAACGTTAAGCGGGTCAATTTTCCCCATAAGAAATACGTAAAATGGAGTTACGTTCCTGATCATCCCTTTGCCCCATGAAATACATTACATATATCTGTACAGTACATAAATTCCAAACTTGTGTGATGCCAGGTGAGGTGCTTGTATGCTTTACTATCAAGTCATTCATTGAGATTTTATAAAACTTAAAACTCCTCTACTTGACAGATAAATAAATACCACTAGGTAACCTTGGTGGGCTGGCGCCAGCTGTCATAATACATCGCCTCCCCCTCCACACTTCCGGCGAGATTGAAGGTGGTTTAGGCTAGAATTTATTCTTATAAAATGGCAGACTAAAGTTAGCAGAATATAAATTGCATTGCTGGAATCCTTGCAAGATGGCCAATATGAATATACAGTAATCATATACTGTACTGTATTCTGCAAGAGATAAAAATTTTAGTCCCTAAAGTACATTTAAGTACTGTGCATGTTTTTTCAAATTATTTTTCAGTATATTTAGGAATTTTCATTTATTTTTACTCCTTTGCATGCACACACCATCCTAAATACATACTGTAAAAAAGGTAAAAAGTGGTCCGTAAGAAGTTCTTTATTCCTGGGAAGTGAAATGGAATTCTTCTGTTTTTTTTTTTACTCGAACCACAGCCATTGGCACAAGTTTTAAGTGATAGAGGTTTTTTCATTGGGAATGTATTTTCTTGTAAGGCAGTGAGTATTTATCCAAAGGGTACAAATATTAAGTTGAATAGTTTTACTTCTGTTCCATTAGTACATTTCTTATGTAATATGGATACCATGTAATGTATGTAGCACAATTTTAATTTTATATTCCATCCTAGAATTTAAAAAAATGGAAATACTGTATTTAAGTATCAAAAGGTAGTCCTCCCTTCTTTCCATAATAATTTGAATTAAGTTTGGGAACATGTCAGGTGTTTAAAATTTTGGGAGTTTGATTTTATACAGTGAATTATACGTTTGTTCTAAAAGTATGTATTTATAATTTGGCTCAGGAAGGTGGTTTGCAAGTGTATCAGTTTGACATGCTGGTAGACTCCATTAGCCTCATTCAAGTGCTCCCTGACAATGTCATGCAAATGCTACACTTTGTTGACTATCATGATGGCACAAACTACATTCTTATAATCGACACCAATGCCTTCACAAAGATTTACCGATGGTCCAGTAAGTATCTTGCGTGTTTTGTATTTTAGGCCAGTATAACACTGTATTAGATAATGTACAGCAATGCATTTTCAGGCTGTTTAATTTGTTCAACCCAAATTAAAACCACAATTCTCCTAGCTTTATGCAACATGAGGGTACATAATTACCAATGTTAAATTATACCTTGAGGCTGATAATGTTAAGTGTCTTTAGATTAATATTAAACTTTGGCTTATGATATCTCCTGTTGATGGTGTCTTCTTGACTTGGCAGATCAGCAGCTTAAGGAGTGGCAGACATTACAGACTGAAGGGGGCTTTGGGCCTTGCTGCTCTGTGGGCTTCTTGACACTGGAGAACTTGGAGAACTTGATATTCATCAGCCAAGGAGTAGGTTTTTCTTGGTATTCCGAGGCAAATTTTAACCTTAAACCGCCTTGTGTATGAAGATAAACTATAGTTTTAAGGAAATAAGGTTACTTTAAATATTAAAGAATTTGGGAATTTAAAAATTGAGATTTAATTTTTTTTTGAAGAATGGAAAAATCTTGTGAGATAGTGCATGAGAAGGCAGTTAATCAATTGGGTTGACTGGTTAGTAGAAAGGAAAAAATAAATTAGGTGTTATGTCTTCAGTAATGAATTGCTTGATTCATATCTAAAGGAATGTTGACTTGTCTATTACTTCACCAATGTGTGTGTGTGTGTGCGTGCTTATTAGCCAGACTGTTAAGGATTTAACCTAGATCCTTTTATAGAGGACTAACTTGGTCCTTTAAATGTGTTCTGGGGTTCCTTGACAATTGGAATGCTGGTTATGGAAGGTCTGTAATTGAACCTTTCCACCACTTGACAATTTACTACCTGTTTGGGCAGTCATTCAGTTCTTATGCATGACCTTCCTTGTTGGTACAAGAGGAAACCCCCACCACACCACGGTACAGTACCTGGAGTAAACTTGCTATCCGAGATTGAACATGTGATGGATTTAGTGAAAGCATTTTTCTTGTTGGCTGTGGATTCGGGTAGCGGTGCTCCTTATTTTAATAGTATCTAGCTTTGTTGTTTGCCTTGGTCTTAGCTGGGCAATTGTTTTGGCAGTCTTATAATCTTGTGAAGAAAATACTCTTAAACTGGAGGACACTTCCTTTTACTACCTGGTGAAAGTGGGTCCCATAGGAATGACTGCTCATTAGGGCCAGCACACGCATACACACTATACGAAGTCAATACACGGGGGCAGTATGGCCGGTACTGCACTCGACCACATTCACTTCCCCGGGAATTGAACCACTGATCCCTGGACAGGAGGTAAACAATATATCCATTAGACTGCTGCAAAGGTGCGTAAGATTATACTGTACCAAGTACTGGAGTAGTCAATGAGTACTTAAAGCTAAATGTTGACCTTGGCGAGTTTAATTTGGGGAAAATTAAGATTTGGATGTCTTTTTGGGCTTTACTTCATCAAAGGCATGTGCCTTGAGAATACTTCAGCTGTTGCATGGTCTTTAACAGGGTCTTGTTTGGTGCGGCTAGGAGATTCCCTATACAGGAATATTGTGTAGAATATAGGAGTAATATTTTCAAAGTACTAATTCCTTACTGTAAAATTTAATTAATTTCAGGAGTTCAGCCACAAGTTCTGTAGTGGCATTGGGAGTAAATTTTACTGCCACCTCCCTTGTTTTTAGCTAGTCTTTGGATACATGGGTTTTCTCAGACTTGTTCCCAATTATATACAAAGGACTAGTCTTCAGAAATTGCATCTACAGTAGTTTGGACGAAATGTGGATCCTTCACACCCTTTGGTTTCTAACGGAGTGTTGGTGGACCGGGTCTTGTTACTTGTCTTGGTTAGTTAACAAGGTACACAGCTACTCGTCCTTGAGCTTTTCAGGGAAAGTGTTCCGAAGTGGTCCATTTTGATTATTACAATGGGAGCTGTACTAATATACAGGGGTGCTCATATGTGGTTTTGCACTTAAGTGGTCAAATAATTGTGGACATACACATAAAAAGTCCCCATAGTTGAGAGGATTTTAAAGCAGAAAAACGTTCGTATTTGGTCGCACAAGCGTTTGAGCTATTAAAATTCCTGCCTGCCTCCCATTCTCTTAGTCATCCTTCTCACCTGCATGTGTCCACTGGCATTATTTTGAAGTGCTCGAAGAACTATAATTAACAACTTTGTTGCATTTGACATTGGTGGTTTATTTTTGTAGCAATTGGTTTCAAACCGAAGCAAGGTGGTGTTGTGGCTAAAAGGAAGTGTAGTAGCTATGGGATGGATGCGAAATTACAATTTACATGTAAAAGTGGTGAGCGGGTCTCGATGAACCACTGAAATGAGCATGCGAGAGTGTGGTTAGGTAGGTTGCACCACAACACACGGACCCCAAACAACTTTAAGTACCTTAAATAAGTATAAAATTAAGTTTATGAAATGGCATAATAAAATGTCTTAAAGGTTTCTAAGGTATAGGTATATAAGAATGTTCAAAGGTACAGTAGAACGTCGATATAGATACGTTCCAAGAGGTCTCTTTAAACCGAATTTGCACTAAATGAAGGGTTTCAATGGAACAATTTAGTTTGGTACTAGAGAGAAATGCAAAATAATAAAAAGATGGAGAGCTTACCCAGATGCACCTCGGCCCATCTGGAATAAACATAAATTGACACTCCTGAAATTAAGGGATGCGGAATGGTCTGTTTACTGGCTGGGAAGATGGAAGGGAGGCAAGGTGAGGTAAGGTAAGGTAATGTTTGACAGTTGTTGCCAAGGTCTAGTGTTTATTTATACATGTCCTCAAGAGTGACTTAAGTTTTTCTCTTATTAAATGTCACCGAACTGACCAGGAATATAATTAACATTGCTGGAATTCTTACAAGATAGAGATTAGTTTAAATATAAATATGATAAAGTTTGCACTTAAATTTTAGTTTTAATAAGTAATTTTATTACAAAGGGCTAAAATTTTTCTTGTGCAAAATATGATGTTTATACTGTATTCAAATTATTTGGTCTTGCAATGATTCTAGCAATGCAAATTATATTCAAACTTTAGTCTGATATTGTTTAAGATAAAAACTAAGCCTATAACCACCCAACCCTGGCTGGGAAGAGAGGGGTGAAATGTTTGACAGTTAGGGCCAAAGGTCTAGTGAAGTATTTATTTGTTTATATATGTCCTTTAAAGTAGGTTTTTGCTTATAAAATGTCAGATGTGGTCGGAGAATATAATTTGCATTGTTGGGATTCTTAGAAGATGGTAATTAATTTAAATATAAACATGCTATAGTTTGCACTAGACACAAATATTAGTTATCATTTAGTACATTATTTCGAGTACATGTACAGTACAGCTTTGCCCTTAGGACAGTGTGTGGGTAACAGGATGTAATTTAAAATATGATTTGACAGATTGACTCCTGCAATATTGGGAAGATTCACTTTAAATTAAAGCGGTCCTTAATTGTGGGTGTTGCTTTAAATCGATATTTAATTGAATAGCTTTAAATAGATGTTCTACTGTACCAAATTAAACATGGAGTGTCGCTTACAATGTGATGGTCCCAATTAGACAATATTCCTATTAATTATTATGGGAATTAATTCCCCTATATAAGTGGGTTCATTATCCGTGGCTTTTTTCTAGTCCCTAGTAACCACTTATGAGGGCCCCCTGTACTGTATTAATACTGGCTGTTGGTGAGGTTATAGCCTGGGCGGAAATCCAGTGACACTTGTTTGATGGACAACTACCATCTAGATTACTCCAGTAGTAACACTGGATAGACCAAATGGCTAAAGTGGATTGGTGAAAATGGTAATGTGCCATGTTTAAAAATGGTTCGTCACACATACTGTGCAGATGTACAGTGTAGCATGTACAGTAGCTAAAACAACTCTGTGAATACTTTGTGGGAAACAATGAGACCATGGATAAGTTTTGGTATATGAAGGCTGTCACTAGTCGAATGTAAAATTTGGGAGCATATCAACCCCCACCTGCACAGGTAGTTGATTTGGCTACTGTACATAGACCATGGAGGTGTAGAGTTTATGTAGTCTCGTTCAAGATTCTTTGAGCACTGCTGGAGGCAGCTGGTAACTCGAGGCAGTTTATTATAGTATGTAGTAAATATAATGAATAAATGCAAGTGATCGATGATTGGTTACTTAGTTCCCCGTTGCTTAATTTAATGGTTGGGCTTTGTTACGTATTATATTATACTATGGCCTCGAGTTGCCAGCTGTCTCCAGCAGTGTTCGAAGAATCCTGAACGAGACTGTACAATAGTCGCTCAAAATATAAAAATATTTGGGTGAAAAAATTACAGGTATAACAAATGTCTGCCTTTTATATTAAATTTTAAATGGTTCAGTATTGGAAGACTACAAGCTACAATTTTGAAGTAAAATTGTGAAACTTAATAAGAACTACTGGAAGTGGAGCTTTAGAATGTTGCCAATGCCTTGGTTGCTTGCATACATATTTAATAAACATTGCACCCATTACTATGAATGATTACTGTTTTGGCGACCATCGTTTGTGGATTGTTGCTTTTTATGCAAAAATTTCTTCAGGGAAAGATTACCCTCTACTCGGATGACATGACTGGCCATTACTTCCCTACATTTACAATCGACACTGGGTGCCACACAGTTCAGGATCTACGAGGGATGAAGATGGGTCCAGACTATGTTATCACCTATATCTGCCTTGGTGTGGATGGTACTGCTATCAGCCTTCAAGCCAGAAGCCTGATCTTGGAAGAACTGAAACTAGGTATGAAACCAGCATCTGTTGTTCCTTGAATATATTGAAAGGTTTGAATTGATTTCCAAGTAATTTGTGTTTTTTCTCCAGCTGAATTGGAGACAACAGCAGATGACCTTCTACATTGCCTGGATAAAGCTGACATGCTCTTAGATAGTAGGAAACCCAACATAACATACCTTGCGGATCTGACTATTTCTGGATCCATGATGACTGTTAATGGGCCACAGGTCAGTAAGCTTATTTATAATTTAACATAAATGCAAGTGGATCTTATTCCTGAATTAAAAGTAAACTCTTACTATTTCTTGGTCAGACATGGACTGGATTAGTGACGTTCAGCAGGGGTCTCACTGTTACCGGAACCACCACTTTCAACAACAGAGTTGACATTAAGCCCTCTGGCAACATTGTACCAACTTCTGGATCACTGGCAAAGTTGTTTTCAGACATAGATGACTTAAAGGTATAAAAACTATACTTCAAATTTTACTTAAACTGAAATACTGTATTACATAAAATGTATTGATTAGTACAGATATAGTAACAGGTAAAGATGTCCTAAAATGTCTTTAATTTAACAGTCCTCTGTAGAAGACCTGGCTGAAGATTTAGATAACCTCTTGTACCACTCGGGTGATCAAACCATAAACGGCCCTATCACTGCCTCCACTCTTACAGCTGACAAATTAGAAATAGATGTTTTGCAGATACAGAAGGTGAGAGATCATGGTTATTAGTGTCATGAGTTCTATAAAATACTGAAGTAAAAAACAAAATCCTAGGGAACCTAAAAGCATGAACCTGCAATTAAGTTAGAGTTAAACGGCAAATTGTTTGCAAGATGGCAAATGAATATGCAGATTTGGGAGAAAAGAGTTAAAGGGTGGCAAAATCTCAAGCAAACACCTATGTCCATCCTTGTACAGTGGTCCCTTGATTAACGAACACAATTGGTTCCACAGTCGGTCGTTAACTGAATGTATTTCAATGAGATATTGGGGAATTGGTTCCAACTTACAGAAAAAGTACATACAAAGTACTGTATACTGGTAATAGAATTAACAAAACATTAAATCTAAACAAAATACAGTAATGTACTGTACAGTATATTGTACAATAATAAACAGATAAATAAAAAATAAAATTTTAACTTGTTCTGGTGTATGTAGTATTCCCGGTGACTTTGTATACTTAGCGGCAGCACAGATAGCTGATTGTAGAATCGATGACGACATGCCATATTATTTAGAGTGCATTGGTTCTAATGCCTTCATATTTCTTAATAATTTCTGCACTGTTATCAATGTTAACTAAATTTCAGAATGACCAATAATTTTAATGTAAAAATGCAAAACTATTAAAGAGCAGAACAAACTGTTTACTCCACTGGAAACAGTTAAACTAAAGCATTGCTGCCTTGGCGGGCGAGTCGATCGGCTGAGGCATTCACCAAAACTGTATATACTGTACAGTAGCCAAGATGACGATCTGTGCATACTTTGTGGGAAACAATACTAGACAATGGAAGATAAATTTTGGTACGAGGGCTGTCACTAGGCACACGTAAAATTTCTGAGCATATCCACCCCCACCTACAGATAGTTGTTTTGGTTAATGTACATAGTGGGTTAACTGAATCTCAGAATTACCAATACTTTTAATATAAAATGCTAAAATATTAGAGCACAACTTTCAATATTTACTGTACTCTACTGGAAACAAACTTAAACATAGAACTCATTATTGGCAGATCAGCTGATGCACTCGCCAAAGTGTGTTTTTTGTAAGGCTGTCGTTAATAGAAGTTGTACTAGTTAGTCGAACTGAAGTCCTTACGGGAGCTAATGGAATTCTCTTAAAGTGAACCACTAGTTAGTCGAGGGACCGCTGTTTATCAAAGTGTAAAGTTTTGTTTATTGCACTTCTATTCTTAATTTCAGGGACTTGGCACAAAATTATTCCTATTCCATAAACCCTGACAAATGTCATCAATTTAGAATTGCATTTATAGTAGGTTTGATTCCAGCCAATTGTACATTTTTTTGGCCTGGTTCTTCATATTCCAGAAAAAACTATGGCAACCCCCCAGGTCCCATAACTGTACTGTATAGTACTTGTATATACTGTACTGTATTGTACATTGTGTATGGTGCGTGTTCAATTATTACCTATAGATAGGTCACTTCCAGTTTATGGATAGCCTCCAGGAATGGAACCCTTCTTTATCCCGAGTCTTTTATATTTTTATTGCATTACTTTGATATACTGGTACTGTCTATGCAGGTGAATGGCATCCCATTGACATCCTTTGTGGAAGTGTTTATGATAGATGGCCTTGACCAGACCATTACATCTGAATTTGCTGTGACTAAGATAACGGCGGACTCCTTCACCACACGCAATCAGTTTCCGACGGGCACAATCAATGGCATACGTACAAATGGCAAGTAATTTATTTTTTCATGCCCGAATTGGCTCTAATCATAACTATGCAAGAAAATTTTTCAAATTTTATGTTTACCACCTTGTCAAAGGGTGGGCAGTGAGCATGTGCAGATATTATTGTTGGCAATTTATAGCGGTTATGATGCTAAACTTGAGCTGAATTTGAAGATATATAAATGATTTCCCTACAATAGGAACTGCCATGTGTAACTGGAATATAAAATTGTATTATACACCACAGTAGCACCACCACAGGTAAAATATTTTACCATGTCATGTTTATAAAGTAAATCTTGTACTTCAGTGTGGTTTATGATTAATCTAATTTAGAGCATTAACAAATTTCAGAGTATATGAGGAAGAGTGTCGGTGAACAAAAAGTGACAGGAGATCACAAATATACCTCCATAGTATCTGGTAATATCATACATGCAGTGGATGAGAGAAGACCCATCTTGTTCAATGGGATCGACTCTTCAACAATAGTCAGAAAAGGAAAAAACGTCACCTTCCATGATCATAAGGACTTCAATAACCTGATAATTGTTGGACATGCAAATGCTGGTCTTCTGAATAATGTAAGTCTTTTATTGTAGCAGATGCCAGTACATTAAAATTATAGCTAGTGTATTTACGAGTTCATAAAGTTCGTCTATGACAGTAATGTTGTTTTATCAGGTGGACATGAGCAGACTGACCAGCAGAGTGGTGTACACTGATACAACACAGCAGCAGACACTGTCTGGAGTCTACTCTCTAGCCTCTGTACAAGTGGATGGTAATATTGATGTTTCCAACATCAATGGTGTCAACTTAAGGAACCTAGAGTCAACTGTTGTTAAATCTACTGGAGATTTCACCTTACAAGGTTGGTTTTATTGGCATAATGACTTGCACACTGAGTGCATGGTCTAGTTTGGTTTACAGTTGATAACCTGCAAATTTTCAAACCTTGTCAAGCATATACTGTAGAGTGGGAGTCCATAGGGTTTTATTCATGTGAAAAATGCCAAAATGCTGGGCCTTGTGGGCTGAAGACACTGTAAAGGGGGGGGGGGAGGGGGAGAGAAACAATTGGTGCAAAGCACTTATGGGAATGAGCGATATCCTGTTAACGAGACGACTCTCAAAGCCAGAAAAAATTCCCTCATCCCTGGAATTTTCTGGGTAACAGAAAAATTATCTAGTTCCAGAAATGGCTCATTACATCATCTCTTGAACCAGAAAAACTTCCCAGGAGTCTTCCTGGTACCGTAGAATGTCAATTTAAAGCAAATTGATTTAAGATTATTGATTTAAAGCGGCACCCACAATTAAGGACAACGTTTTAATTTAAAAGTGAATCATTCCTATTTTCTCGAGTCTGTGTGGCACATCATTTAAAATTTTGCGCCTAATGTTTCTCTGGGCACGCTACACTGTCCTAAGGGCAAAGCTGTACTGTACATGTACTCAAAATGTACCAAATGATGACTACAATTTGTCAAGTGCAAGCTATAGTATGCTTATATTCAAATTGATCCCCATGTTATAAGAATAACGGCAAAGTTAATTATAATCTCCCATATTAGTTCAGTGACCTTTTATATGAAAAACTTGGTCACTCTTAAGGACAGATAAATAAATAAGCACTAGACCTTGGCATCAGCTGTCAAACATATCACCTCACCTCCCTCCATCTTCCCAGCCAGTAAACAGACCGTTTTGCATCCCTTAATTCTAAATGTATTGATTTAAGAGTTTCTTTTAACAATCTTTCAAAAAGCAAGGTTTTGTTTATTCTAGGAGATGGGCTGAGGTGCATCTGGGTAGAATGTCTCTCGTATTTTGTTTCTCAAATACCAAACTAAATTATTCCATTGAAACACTTCGAATAGGTTTAAAGCGACCTCTCTTGGAACCTATCTCGTGTTAAATTGACATTCTACTGCACTGGAAAATTTGTCTCTGAATTTCTGGATAATGTGCCGGATTTTCATCTCTCAAACAGGAAAGACACCCCCTTTTCCCCATATTTCCGGAAAATTCTAGCTTTGGGAATGATTTTCCGAGAATTTCATTTTCAGCTATCTGAGAGCTCCGGGTTGGAGGAATTCCGGCTATTGGAGAGCTCCGGGTTTGAGGGATTCCGGCTAAGGGATATATTATTGTATTGCACAGTAGACTGCTACCACCCAAGCTTATATGCAGAATATAAGTAATATCATTACACGTTAGGTAGTGTGGTAGATTAGCTTGGGCACGTGAGTTAAGTGCTTATTTTCTGAGAACCAATTGTTAGAATGGAAGGAATGGCGATGCTCGCACTACTAAACGATATTTATTAAAATCAAATTTGAATGACAATTTGAACCTATATCCACAACAGCAAAAACTAGGTTCACTGATTACTTTCCTAACACTTGGACAAGAATGGACCACTAGGTCCTATTTGACAAGTACGAAATAGATCTATTAGTATTAAATACTTGTACCTCTTTTAAGGGTATTATTATAGGTCATTGACAAAGATGGTAACTTACACACTTGCCAATTGCTGTGATATTGCCACATTACTTGCAACATCCTGTTATTGAATGAGAAATGTGTACCAGCATCTCCGTTGGTACACATTGGTTTACCCATAAACTCGAATGGGTACTGGTAATAGCAATATTTATGGTTTCCACACTCTACCTGGGACAGTTATATTTCTGCTAATTAATCCCCAATTATGTATAAGAACACTCCTTTGCACATATAACGGATTAGTACACCAGTCTCACTCAGCTGGTTTTCAAACATGCTCTCAGCTGTAGCCTCACTAAATTCCAGTGACTGGTGCTAGATGAGCCCACTCTCCTGGGGTTAACTCCCAGGGTGTGTTACTCCCTGGTTTTAATCTTGCTGAATTAGACCTCCTGCCTTGGATTTCTTGCTGGTAGGCAGCTACTGCTCCTTGGTAGCTGTGGGTATCGGCTAAAACACACACCTTGCCCGAGATGACCAGTGTCTGTAAAGTGACTTTCCCTCTCGTGCACGCAGTTTTATACGAGGCAGATGGCAACTCGGGCACGTCGAAGGTATTAATTCACGCACTTGCATACATATTCATTTAAATCTGTTGCTGTACATTTGGCGATGGAAATTGGTGTTCTTGGTCAGATCAATTTAAATCTGCTTTACAATCTAACCAGGGATCAAGCTTGTCGGGCAATAGTGAAATTGATGTCACACAAGCTGATAACGTCTTCTTACGACCTCGTCAAAGCCTGAACAAGGGTGTACCGAGATTGTCGTTAGATCATAGGGCGATAAGAGACGGACATAGTCTTTCAGATTAATTACTTTCTAAAGTACAAAACTGAATTATTTGAATACCATCAGATTCTCTGATGATTGGGAATCAAAATTATCTAACTTCAGTAGCAATTGGAAACTCAGGGCATACCTCAGAATAAATCACTACAACTGGCAAACTTTACATTGAACTTAGACAATTTTACTAAAAGTAAATACAGCTGAAATTTTCATCACTCGCAAGGATCTTGAATGTTTTATCTGTACGTAGACTTGTCTAACTTAATGTAAAACATATGCTTTCAATTTCAATTCTCCATATGTGGTACTTGGTTATTTAAGCAGAATTTTAAATACGGCGTCTCTCGCACATGTATAGATATAGGCTTCGTATCCGAGATGGAATTCGTGATATCCCCATTAGCCGGAACAATTGGTGGAGAGCACTTCTGGGGATGAGAGATTTCCAGCTAACCAGATAACTTTCACAAACCCGGAAAGATTCTTTATCCCCAGAATATTCTCCGGTTACTGGGAAAAGTTTGTCTAAATTAGACCTCTTGCACACAGGCACTTACCCACTTCCCCAGGCTGTTTCTGGGTGCTGGGATGTTTTCATATAGTCTAAACTACTGGAGTCTGTAATTGCAGTTCTAATTAAGTTAGAAACTCTATTTCTTTACTATAATAATCCAGAAAAGTTTATCTGAAAGAATTGTAAAATAAATATTTGAAAATTAAAAATTTATGATATGGGTGTGAATGAAACTGTTACAGTATTGACTGGTATTTTCCACTCCCATGGAGCTGTGGGGGATTAGTGGATCTCGTGTACATGTCCTGACACAATGTCAGGTGGAGGTAGAGTGTGGGATTAGTGGTCTCAAATTACGGACCTTTTGATGGAATGTCGGGTCGCCCTTTCTTGGCCGGGGGATTAGTGGGTCTCGTGACCTGAAGATGTCTTGAATAAACATGAAACCTAAAGTATTTTTAGAGATTGTGATAAGTATAAGTATAAATGAGCAAAGTTGTATCCCTATTACATAACATTTTGAAATATGGAGTGAGAAAGCAGAAAGGTGGGTAATTAGAGATGGAGTGGAAATAAGTGTTGGCAAGCACTCTCCAACAGCTGATATTTAACACACACACACAAATTTCTTGCACAATAAGACCTTCACTCCTTGTCTGCTGTCTTAATTCTCTTGTTAGGGGTAGGAGTGGTGATGGTGTGGTAGGTGAACTTTTTTTTTTGGTGGGGGATGGGTTGCCCTGTCACTTTCTCCCCCTTTCCTCTCAAGCGTGGCAAATTGTGACGAGATGAATTTAATACCATAATGATCCTTCATAAATTCTCTACAAAATGTTTCCAATAAGACATCCTTAGACGAAATATTTCTGATAGTGATGGGAATTCCGTTCTTTTATATAAAAATTAAAAAAAAAAACCCTAAGAAATGTTGATACCAGAGTCAGTATAATCAGTTCTAATTTCTTTACACCATTTTTTATCAAAATAATCCTGAATACTTTATCTTAAAGTTTGGTTAAATAAATATACAGTCAACCCTCGCTTTACGCGGTCCCACTTAACGCGTTTCCACGTTTATGCGGTACCCTGCCGAAACCAGAATGCTCACTTTCCGCGGTGTGTACCCTTTTACGCGGAGAGCGGCGCGAGCAGGGTGCGCACAAGGTCGCCCAGTCATCAAAACATTACGGAGTTCTTCACCTGCCACCCACCACAGCCGGCCCAAGTCAGTGATAATGATAGTGAGGATATGGACTTGTATGGACTTTGAGGGGTTTGACTAAGAGGCCCTGCAAGCCTCTGTGGTCGATAGTGATACAGGTGAGGGCCAATAATCTGCCCTCTGCCTCGGAACCAACCCCCATCCCCGTGTGCCCAGCCATCTTTTCTACAAATGTAAGTGTTAAAAAACCTAATATTATTGACATTTCCCTAAATTATTAATTGTGTGTGCATACCATCATAAAATTAAGAAGTTATTTTTACTACAATGTTGGTATTGTCTGAAAAAGTGGAGTTTGGGGGTCGGCCTGGTCTCTATTTCAATTAATCCCATATGTTATGTTGTTCATTTTACGCGTTTCTCACTTTACGCGGGCCGCCGTGGGTTGAATTAACCGCGTAAAGTGAGGGTTCACTGTATATAAAAAAATAGCTGATACAGGTCTGAATGGAACTGTTTCTTTTATCTTCACCACTGATTGGCTCGTTAGTCGCTTGGGCAATCGTCACGTCTGTTACACACTTCGCTCAATTGACTAATGCATAACTAATGTCTTGCACTTGCAATGAAGGTTGGGTGGGAGATATTGGGTCACTTTGCTAACCTGACCTGATGCAACGTCAGGTCACTTAGTGTTGGGATGGGGAGAAGTGGGTTTTATGACCTGAATGTCTTGAATGACATTATTTTTTTACCTATGAGGTATATACATACAGGTGCTCCTCTATTTACGAACAAGTTACGTTCCTGAGGCTTGTTTGGAAGTCCAACTTTACCCTTGTAGATCCCAAACCTTGTAAAAAAAAATGAAAAGATTATGGATATTTAGTAC